TCCCAAGCCAGCTCTTAACCAACGCGTCACTCGACAGGCCTGTATATGATTTTATATACAAATCATTTCTAGAGAAAAATCACTGATCTTTCTTTAGTTAATGTCTCATAACATTAAATGCTATAAATATCCATATTTTAAAAAGATAGCTAATTTCCTGGACTCATATTTAGAAATGTTTTCTATACTTATTAAGAGAGTGAAAGAGCAAAAAGACCACAATGTTCTTCTTTAGGGCCAAATAAGAAATTGATTTTTAAAGAGAAAAAGAAACAATTTTTTAAATGTCCATAGAGGAGAAGAAGAAATGAAAATGAAATGAGGTAGCCCCAAAATCATAAGAAAGAAAATGAGAAACAAGGAATATCAGTTTTACCTTTACAGCTAAAACAATGAAAGGACACCTAAAAAAATGGACACCTTTGATTTTTTCTTTTCCCTGTAGTTCTTGGCCTCTTCTGCTGCAACACCTGCTGCTTCATTGAGGTACTTGTTACCAACTTTGCTTTCAAACCATTTTAGGTCCACAAAAACTTCACTGAAGTGCTCCCGATCAAACTGTACAGAAAAGTTTAAATTCCTTTAAAAATAATGTAAGTATGTCTGGAAGAATACAAACCAAACTTTTAACAGGGACTACTTCTGGGGCACAGGGAGTCAGAGAATGTTACTTTTTTTATGCACATGGGGACCTCACGTACTATTCTGAAAATTAAAAAAAAAAAAAAGCAAATAAAAACAAAAACAATTTAGGTAAAATTATTTATACAGAATGACCAATAGAATTAGAATTACAAAAAAATTTTCTTCTGGTATTATGAAATTGGTTACTGACCATTTACAGCTACCCTGGGACAGGAAAACACAAACTTCTGGTTACTTACGTCTGATAACTTCACAAGGTATTTTTCAAATCGAGGTAAGTTGAGATGCCCACTTTCATTAATATAACCTAAAAGGAACAAAATCTCAATTTGTACTAAAAGCTGACATTTTTCCTAAACAATTCTACAAAATTCTTTTCATAAAATGTTGAATGTTGACATTCTACTAATCAAAGAAAACCACTCAGTGTTGGACTATATAACTGGCCCTAGTTTCTATGAACTTGATGTTACTACAACATACAATAAGTAAAAACTGAAGCAAAATATAAGAAATTCCCAGTTCACATAATAATAATCCTCCCACATTTTCAACATTTGGTAACAGTTAATTAAATTAAATATGTTCTAGAATCTACCAAGATCATTCATTTGATATGTTACCTTGAAAAGAAAAGGACTAATATCCCCCTACTCTGTTGCTTTAGTCAGCATCACCACTGTTTGTCAATATCCTATTGCAATTGAAAAAATTTTCCCTCATATTAAATACTATAATACCTAACCATTCAGAAAAATTGAATTTCTATGTTTAAATATGAAAGGAGTTAAGTGAAACTAACAACTTCTACTGACTTTCCTAAACAATTAAAGGCAGAGATTATTTAGGTATCAGTAAATGAGACTGCATAACTGGTCATTTTCTTTGCTTGTGAACTATGGAAAACTATAATCTCAGAGCTTCTGCCTTAGACCCAAAGAAGCCACCAGTTTTTTCCTACTTTAGTTGTGCTTGCAATAATCTAATAAAACTGAGTAACATTTTTAGAATTATTTGACTGGTAAGTTAAAGTAGCCTCAAATGAGTATTAAACTCTTCTTACCCCCAAGTTCTGGCAGGATGGTAATATATGTTCCATAAAGAAGAGGCAGTGCATCATGATTAATATGTAAATGAGGTAGATGAGGGATAAAATCATTGCCAACAAGAAATCCCATCATAATCCAATCATCTATTATCCTTTCAATATCATATTTAAATGTGATCTTGTCCTGCAGTAAAATGGAAGAAAAAGTCAAGTCCTATGGAAATTTCTGCATACACATCTTTGGTCCACAGCTTATTTATACTTACTTTTAATACTGAAAACTCATAGTCGATATACTCTCTCATTAAAGATAAGTGTAGAAGGTGAAATGTGGTTTCTTCTGGTGCGCATACCCTGTAATTAGTCAGATGATCAACATAGAGTTAACTATATTTTTTATGGTTTCAGTTTAAAACTGCAGCAAAGCTTAAAATAAAACATTATTAGGAGATAATTATTCCTTGTAATCAAGGCATGAAATTTATATGAAAGCTGCAGGGTAATGTAAAAATAAAAATATAATTGCAATTATAATTCATATAACATAAATTTAAAAATAATTGGTTTACATCATGCTTTCTATGAAAAGGTTCTCAGAAGTAAGAAAGCCTAAATAATACATAACAGATATAACAAACCAGTGGGATCTGGCCCATTTAAGGCTGTCCTCTGGCAGAAAACACAGAGATCACTGAGTATATACTTTTATGTCTACTGCAATATACTCCGAAATTTCAATGGTGAGGCACTATCACTAATTCTTCTTATCTTTCCCTGGCATGATATAGAGGTTTATACTCCTGGCTGTTTACCTGTATTCCAAGTTTAACTATGAATAGGAATGTAAACTAATAACAGCATATTCAAAGGATTATACAACATAAGCAAGTAGGATTTATCCCAGGAATGCAAAGAAAACATAAAAAAAAATTGATGTAATACACCAAATCAGTAAACAAAAGAAAAAGCACCACACAATCATTTAGCAGAAAAAGCATCCATCAAAATTCAACACATGGTGAAAATACTGAGCAATGTAGGAATAGAAGGGATCTTCCTTAATATGATAAAGGAGTTTTATGAAACACCCCAAGCAAACATCATACTCAATGGTGAAAGACTGAAAGCTTTCTAAGATTGGGAAAAATACAAGGATGCCCACTGTCACTGTAACTATTCAACATTATACTGGAAATCCTAACCAGGGCACTTAAACAAGAAAACAAATAAAAAGCATCCAAATTGCGCTTCCAGTCAAGATGGTGGAGCAGGTAAACACTGTGCTTGCCTCCTCTCACGACTACAGTAAAATTACAACTAAATTACAGAACCACCATTGAGAATCACCTGAAGTCTAGCTACACAGAAGTTCTACAACTAAGGATATAAAGGAGAAGCCACCTCAAGACTGGCTGGAGGGGGCAGAGACCCAGAATGGGCTGGTCCCACACCCACATGTGGCAAGTGAGAATCGGGAGGCATAACTCAGCTGTGGAGGTCCTGTCTGTGGAACAAGGGGTCCTAACCCCAAACCAGTCCAGGGTTCCAGTGCCAGGAAGAGAACTCCATAGAACTCCTGGCTGTAAATACCAGTGGAGATTGTAGCTGAGTGAGACAGAGAGTTGCAGAAATCTCAGGTGGTCCTCTTAAAGGGCCCACACATGGACTTACTTGCTGGTGGACTCACTCACTGTGTGCTGCAGCAGTGGGGCAAAAGCTTAAAAGGCACCAGGGTTGTATAGGGAGAAACTAAATAGTCTGGCTTCAGAGTGCAGGCTGGAGGGGCAGCTTTCTCCCAGACAGAAGTGTAGGCAGAAGCCATTGTTCCTTTCTCGATCACTCCCAGCACCCAGCCTGCATGTGTAGGCAGGCACTATATTTGAGTCTCCATTAACCTAACTACCCACCCCCCTTTACCCCACTCTAATGATTCCCTGAGACCCTGCCCCACCCAACTTGTGGGCTCACTCAAGCCACTTTCCATGGCTTTTTCATACAAATGGGGTGTCTTGGGTCATGATGCAGACTTTCCTAAAATCTCTCAGAGTCACAAAACCCAAACAAGCAGCATTTGGCCTTGGTGTGTCCCTTACCTCTTACTCAGCAGCTCCAAGCCTGGAACTAGCAGCAGGTGCCCTCATTTCACCATTTAGCCTCTCCCAGACACCTCCATGCCCAGCACAAGTGGTAACCATCTGCAGACGACTTTGTAGCTCATACCAAGCAGCCTGGGGGGCACAACACAGGCAGTGGCTGACACTGACCTGCACAAGAGCTCCTCCTAAGAGGCCCCAGAACCAACACACCCAGTGGCCAGCTTCAGACCACACCAGAGCACGACCCAACCACCTCCACAAACGACACACCCACAGGGCAGACGTGGCAGGTACCAGAGCTCCATTAAAGTGAATCCAGCTCTGTAGGGTGAGTCCCTGCACAACAGTACCTCCACTGTAGTCACAGCCAGTGCTCACAACCAATCAGCCAGAGGGTCAACCCCTTCCACTGACATGCAAACAGCAACCAAAGCTCAATTACAGCAGGAGGACACACACAACCCACACAACAGACAAACCTGGAGCACCTGGCTCAGGTGACAGGGAGACTGTGCCACTGGGCCCCCAGGACACTTACAACATAAGGTCACTCTACGAAAACTGGGAGACATAGCAACCCTACCTAATACATAGAAACAAACACAGGGAGGTAGCCAAAATGAGGGGACAAAGAAACATGTCTCAAATGAAAGAACAGAACAAAGCTCCAGAAAATTAACTAAACAAAATGGAGACAAGCAATCTATCAGACACAGAGTTCCAAGTAGTGGTTATAAGGATGCTCCATGATCTCAGGAAGAACTTCAACAAAGAGATAAGAAACTTATAAATGGAGATAGAAAATAAAAAAGAACCAGTCAGAAATGAAGAATATATTAGAGCAGGGGTCAGCAAGCTGCAGCTTGTGAGCCACATGCGGCTCTTTGGAGATGTTCTGTCTCAAAAGTTTGCCGACCCCTGGAAGAGCCAATCCTGTCCCTCACAACAATTTAAAAATTATTCGAGAGCCATAAACATATTTTTATATAACCACCATTATGTGACTAATAGCCTTCAAAAGTTTTAGAAATGAAACTATGATAGTTTTCTTTTCGTTTTCTATTTTACTTCAGAATCTGCAGCTCGCAGGCTGCAGTTCGCTGACCCCTGGCGGTTCTTCCATCTTAAAAGTTTGCCAACCCCTGCATTAGAGGGAATCAACAGTAGATTAGATGAAACAGAGGGCTGAATCAGTGATTTAGAAGATAAGGTAAAAACACCCAAACAAAACAGCAAAAAGAAAAGAGAATCCAAAAAAAATGAGGATACTTAAAGAGGTCCCTGGGACAACATCAAGTACACCAATATTCACATCATAGGGGTGCCAGAAGGAAAATAGAGAGAGCAAGAGATTGAGAAACTATTTGAAGAAATAACAACAGAAAACTTCCCTATCCTGGTGAAGGAAATACACATACAAGTCCAGGAAGCCAGAGAGTCCAAACAAGATGAACCCAAAGAGGCCCACACCAAGATACATTATAATTAAAATTCCAAAGCTTAAAAACAAAGAGAATCTTAAAAGCAGCAAGAGAAAAGCAGTTAATTACCTACAAGGGAGCTCCCATAAGCTACCAGCTGGTTTCTCAACTGAAACTTTGCAGGCCAGAATGGACTGGCATGAAATATTCAAAGTGATGGAAAGTAAGGATCGACAACCAAGACTACTCTACCCAGCAATGCTATCATTTAGAATCGAAGGACAGATAGAGAGCTTCCCAGATAAGAACCAAACCAGTATTAAAAGAAATGTTAAAGGTACTTATTTAGGAAGAAGAAAAAAAAAACAGATAAAAAATATGAATAATAAAATGGCAATAATGACATATCTATTAACAATTACTCTAAATGGATTAGATGCTCCAATCGAAAGACACAGGATGCTTGGAGGGATAAGAAAACAAAAAAATCCTTATGTATGCTGCCTACAACAGACTCACTTCAGATTGAAAGACACACACAGACTGAAAATAAAGTGCTGGAAAAAGATATTTCAGGAAAATGGAAACACCACCACCACCTGGGGTAGCATTACTTATACCAGACAAAATAGACTTTAAAACAAAAGCTATCACAAGTGATAAAGAAGGACTCCATAATCCCACTTCTGGGTATTTATCCAAAGAAACCCCAAACACTACTTTAAAGGGACATGTGTATCTATATGTTCATGGCAGCATTGTTTACAACCAGGAAGCTATGGAGGCAACCTGGGTGTCCATCAATGGATGAATGGATAGGGAAAAGGTAGTACATATATATAATGGAATATTACTCAGTCATAAAAAGAATGAAATCTGCAATAGCATGGATGGACCTTTAGGGTATTGTGTTGAATAGAGTAAGTCAGACAGAGAAAGACAAATGCCATGTGATTTTGCTTATCTGTGGAATCTAAAGAACAAAATAAACAGAAACAGGAACAAGTTTATAGATACAGAGAACATATTGATGGTTGCCAGATGGCAGGAGGGTTGGCGGGATGGTTGAATAAGAGAAAGGGATTAAGAAGTACAAATTGGTAGTTAAAAAATAGTCATGGGAATGTAAATTATAGCATAAGGAATATAGTCAATAATATCATAATATGTATGGAGTCAGGTGGGTACTAGAGTTACAGGGATGATCACTTCATAAGTTATGTAAATGTCTAATCACTATATTGTACACCTGAAACTAATATAATATTATGCAACTGTAATAGAAAAATTTTAAAAAATTACTTTAAAGAAAAAGCATTCAAATTGGAAAAGAAGTAAAAGTATATGTACAGATGGTATGATTCCATATATACAGAGGGTGTCCAAAAAACTGTATACAGATTTTAAGCAAGGAAAAAACTATTAAAATTACGCTGATGGTAACCTCTGAGCACCTCTTGTAATTGCAGAAGTCAAGCATGACTTGTATTCATCTTTTGTTATTGTTATATATTGAATATTACAATTTTAATAGTTTTTTCCTTTCTTAAAATGTGTATACATTTTTTATGCACCCTCTGTATATAAAATTCCACAAAACTACAATAAATCTACTAGAACTAAAAAACAAATTCAGCATAGCCACAGACAACACACAAACATCAATTGTGTTTTATACACTAGCAACAAAGAACCTAAAGAGAAAATTAAGGAACAATTCTATTTATAATACCATCCAAAAAAATAAAACATTCAGTAATAAACTTGACCAAGGAGGCAAAAGAAAATAAAACAGAAGCAAAAAACCAAACTCATATATATAGAGAACAGATTAATGGTTCCCAGATTAATGTGGGTAGGGGGTAGAGGTAGGGAGTGGGCAAAATGGGTGAAGGTGGTCAAAAGGTACAATTTCCAGTTATAAGTTAAGTAAGTCCTGGGATGTAATGTACAGCATGGAGACTACACAGTTTTTAAAATGTTTTTAAATAAAAGGGAAACAAAAGAAGAAAATAAAAGGAGGCAAAAGACTTGTACATTAAAATTATAAAACACTGCTGAAAGAAATTAAACAAGATACCTTGTGTTAATGGACTGAAAGACTTAATATCAAAATGTAAATACTACCTAAAGGGATCTATGTCACTCCTATCAAAACCCCGAGGATGTTTTTTGGAAAAAAAAAAAAAAAATCCATCCGAAAATAGTTAATTTCAGGAGACCCCCAATGGCCAAATAATCCTGAAAAACAAGAACAAAGTTGGAGGTCCCACCTTTCCTGATTTCAAAACTAATGAGATGTGATCAAATAAGATGGTGAATGTTTAAATAAGAAATTATTACAGTAAAAGACACACTGCCATTAATCCCCCTCAAAATACTCCCCCTTGGGCCGGCCGAGCGGCATGTTGGTTAGGAGTTGGCTTGGGACACCAGCTCTGAGCAGCAGGGCCCTGGTTCAGACCCCACATGAGGGCCAGTGACACTGCCCTCTACAGCTAAGATGATGAACAACAGCTTGACCTGGAGCTGGGCTGCTGTGAGTAAAGAGTGACAGCGTAGGCTGCAGCCCCTGCTGCAGTGGGCTGCTATAAGCTACCGCGAGTGGATGGCAGCCACCGTGAGCTGCGAAGAGCCGCTCTGAGCGGCTGTCCACTGGCCGGCGACAGATCTGCCTCACCTGGGAAGAGTGCAATGATAATACCAACACAGGCCAATGAAGCGATGTCCTCCACAACTAGACTGAAGAATAAAAGGACAGAAACTTGTCTGTTCCCCTTCCCTGATTCCCCAATGCTGTTCCGCTACCCTAATTCCCTAATAAAATCTAAAAAATAATAACTTATTTCGGAAAAAAAAAAATACTCCCCCTTGCTTCAAACACACTTATCCCATCATTAATGCCACTTTCTGAAGCAGCTCTGGAAGTCCTCTTTCGTGAGTGTCTTTAGTTGTGCTGTAGTGGCTGCCTCAATGTCCTAAATCATTTTGAGTTTGGACAAGAGCCCAAAGTTGCACAGTGCCAGGTCCGATGAATAAGGTGGATGAGGACACACTGTCATGTTTTTATTTGACAGTAACTGCCATACCAGAAGCAATGTGTGACACGGAACCTTTCCGTAGTGATCACAAAATATGGTGAACGCTGCTGCTGAGTGCCATCCAACAGAAAGGCAGGGATCTTCAATACGGGAAGTGGCATGTCGAACCTTAGTAACAGTGTGTGACAAGTTTCAACTTGTTCGGTGCAGTCAGTCTGGTGTGAGCTACAGTTGAGAGAAGATGTGTTTTAAAGTGTGTCGTAGGGCCGGCCGAGTGGCGCATTGGTTAAGAGCTGGCTTGGGACGCCAGAGGGCCCCGGTTCAGATCTCACATATGAGGGCCAATGACACTGCCCTCTACAGCTAAGATGCTGAACAACAGCTCGACTTTGAGTCTCCGGCGATGGCATAGGCTGCAGTCCCTGTTGCAGTGGGTTGCCATGGGCTACTGTGAGTGGCTGGCAGCCAGCGTGAGCGGCCAGCAGCCGCCATGAGTGGCCATCCAGAAGCCGGCGACTGATCTGCCTCACCCAGGAAGAGTGCAATGATGGTGCCAACTTGGGCCAGTGAAGCAATGTCCTCCACAACTAGACTGAAGAAGAAAAGAACAGCAACTTGTCT